AACTGACAAACCTTTAGTGCTGAAATTTACAAGAAATACACCCTGTCGAACCCTACCGGCAATGGGTTCTCAACACACGGTGTGAACATCAGACCTTGCTGAGACACTCCGCAAGCTGTCTCTCTACACACGGTGGAAGACATGAGGATTCTACAGATCATAATACCTGTTGGTTATTTAATATGGGGAATATACATACACATTCCTACACAAATCAGTGCAATGGTACACAAGAGGTCATACTGCAGAAACCTGCTAATACAAAACTATTGAGTACACACAAAGAAAGGACACAAACACAGGGAAATAAATATTGTCAAAACTGCATCAAGATAACAAAACAAGGAAGCCAGATAACTAAGACTTTGATTTATTATACAATGAAACCAGAAGGGTGCCAAGATAGCTCCCCTAACACCTGTGCATACAATAGAACTACATATAAAGTTTGTAGAAAAGGAGCCCAAGATCAGTGTTATAACCCAAAGCCTGATCCTGATAGTTGGGCCTTATAAATCCGAACACATAGAACAAGAACGAGCTCTAAGGACCAGGCACTATTAGGGATCTCTCAATGGAAATCCAACCCACACTCCAGTTTTAGCATTACCTTTGATGTTTGTAAAGCAGATAATTATTGGGCCGTAATGTATGGTTGCGGAGGGATCAATCGAATCCATAACTATATCCCAAACCATAAGTATTTGTGCCCACCAGATGGGTGTGCAGTCTCCACGGTCAAATGTAAGTGGTGGTCATGTATTAAGTGGCATACCCAAGACCCAAAGGAGATGGAGCACACCTTGTTTGGAAAAGTGCTGAAAGACATAACAGACAGAATGGTCAAACTAGCTCACGTTCCGGTACAAACCTGGAATGGATTTAATTTAGAAGACATATTTTCAGGATGGTGGCCAAAGTTACCAGGCCTACAAACCATCATAGTTATAGCAATCTTGTTAATTCTAGGATGTATTTTGATTCCCTGCTTACTCCCTTGTGTTATAGCAATGATTCGAAGAATCTCAGAAAGTACAGCCCAATTAACTGCAAAACATGAAACAATGTTAGCTTTATGGGAATATAAAGTATTGCCCTCTAAAGATCCTGAATTGGAGGACGAATAATGGAAATTTAAGCGAGAAAACTTCCAAAGGGGGGAATAATGTGGTAAAATAAGGTAGAATAATGAACAATTGCTGGAATAATGATTTGTCTGCATAATTGATAGAATAATAATGTAATGCATAATCACTGGGAAAGTTCTGTGTCAGTAATATGTGACTAACCAAATGCGCATTGCACATAGATACTTTGTATGTAGCAAAACCTACCATTGTATGCCCATGAGAAACAATCCTAGTGTATTACAATGTGTATTACAATGTGTAGTCCTTTGTTCCTGAGAACAGGAAAGTATAAAACTGAAGTCTAATCCCGCCCTCCTTGTTCAGAATTGCCTGTCTTTGTGCTTCTGAACCTGCGCAAATAAACCTCTCTGCTAACACCCTCTGGAATTTGTAAGAGTCCTTTCATTTTCCACAAGAATA